GCAATTATGAAGAAGTCGCCTGATTTTTCAATGACGGACACGGTGACGGTTCCCAAAGACACTGATATTACGCCCTTAGAGTGCATACCCATCGAACAACTGGAAACTAGGACTGTTCGCATCTATATGCCAAGCAAATCGGCCACTCAATCTGGCACTTTTGGTTCGAATAAGTGGCGAATTGAGTTGGACAATCTGGGGCGCTGGGAGAACCCTCTAATGGGGTGGGCTAGCACAGGTGATCCCCTTTCCAACTTTTCATTGGATTTTTCTGATGCCACATCTGCCATAGCCTATTGCGAAAGTCAGGGCTGGAATTACTTTGTCGAGGATCCAAAAAAGACTACCGTGAAACCGAAGAGCTATGCCGCTAATTTCTCATGGGATAAACGCACCCGTCGTTCCTGCAAGTAGATGACCTACAGCAGTCTTGAACCCCAGTATTATTTCGATAACAATTGTTTAGCTTAATCTACATTCGTTTCGCTTGTAAATAAAGTAGCTACAGTAAATTTAGTTCCGTTCTGTTTTTAGATATTGAATCTCTAGAGTCTCTTACATGATGTTCCATATTTCTTTTGAGATCTCAAAATATGTTGAATTCGGTGACAATGACGAGGAGTCGCCGACCCAATGCGGGTTCTCGAATGGCTCGGTTATTGAACGAGGAGGAGGAGGACGATTTTTACACCAGTGCCTATGGTGGTTTTGCAGAGGTTTATAGATTTTGCTTTCCCATAATCTCTCCTTCTTCCTAATAGGAGGAAAATGATAATGACTACGAATCAGAGAGCTCGGGTCACGACTCCATTGATACGGACTTCGCCGACACTGAAGAAGAGGAGGATGAAGATGATGGTAGTGGTGGCGAGGCTATGGATGATGAGAGGAGGAAGCGGCGCACGCGGAGGGTCGTTACAAAAAGTTATAAGGTGAGTGTATATGCGGTGACTTCCTTTTGTGTCTTTGATAGGTTGAAGTTTGTATTGGTAGGAGCCAAAAGTCAAGAAGGAAGTGATCGAGAAAGTTAAGCCTGAGTTGAAGTCGCGGACGAAAATGGTTGGGGTAGGTGAAGAGACCCTGGCTGAAGCTACAGCAGGTGGGTATTTTGTCTAAAAGGAATGAAAATTGCCATGACTTTATCTCATGTTCTTGGCATAGCGATTGATCTATTAGCACTCCTACGCATATTTGCCCCTAATAGTAGGATTTGTGCTTTTATGGTATTATTAGGATCATATCCACGTGGTGGACATAGAATCGCACTACATCCAGTTTAACTTTCATCAAATCTACAGAACTGCTGCCTATTCCCAGTGCTTCGTGATGTTAGAACTTAAAATGAACTGTTTAAGTATGATGGTTTGTAGTACTAAATAAGTTCCTGATCTTATTTTATTTTTTTGTTGGTAGTTGGTCATAACTTGTTTCTTATTCTTTACAATTTCCGATGACTGTTATTTTTTTAGAAATAGTAACCACATGACTCATCAAGCTGCGTTATAACCAAGATTCTGTTCTAAATGCAACTAGTGTTGGGACAGCCATTGCGAACATTTTTATTGTTTTGGATGTACACTTGGGGCAACTACATCACACTGTATTATCAAATTTGCATCAGCGCTCGTCAGGCATCGCCAAT